GCCGGCAGCTCTGCGCGCGGGCACTGGTGCGGCGCGGGGCTGCGCTCGGCTTCTGCGGCCCGAGGGCTGGTCCGGTCTCGGCTTCCCGTCTCCCCAACTCGGCCAGCACCCACCCCCGCCCTGTCCTCGCACAACTGCCCGCCTGGCCTCGGCCACCGCGCTGCAAGGCGTGCGAGTTAGCGGGCACCTGCCCTGCGCGCGCCCATTGGCCGTCGCTCACCTGCCCCAAGGTGGGGGGCGGGGCGGGGCGGGGCGATGGCAGGCAGTCAGGGAGGGACCCCGGAATCGCAGGCAAAAGCCGGACTGGAGCCTCTGCCCGGCCATCCGGGAGCCCAGGCCCTTCGCCGCGGGCTTTTCCCCACGTCTGGCCGAAGTCGCCAGGACTCTCGCTGAAGCTGGGTGCAGTCCGAGGTGCTGCGGCCAGGAAGACACTCCTGTGTGTAACTCAGGTACACCTGCTGGTCCCGGGATGTGGCCGTTCTCGGATACCCTGTGCCCAAGGACAGGGTAGGTGTTGGGGATCTCAGTTGGCTGCTTCTTGGTAAGGAGAGCGCAGCCCCAGGCGCCCCGGCCTCCGCTCGGTCTCCGCCCGCCCCCAGGGCCTCGGCCTTGACTTCGGTCCCACGCTTTCCGGATGTCGCGAGGAACGCAGCTGCGGAAAGGACGCTTGGCTCTCCTTTCCACACAGGGCTTAGCGTGGCAGCTGGAGCGACGGTAGCAGCCCCCTGCCACCTTCTGGCCTCAGAAGTGGCCCCTTCGCGCAGCTCGGGCCGAGTGGTCACTCGGAAGGCGCCGCAGGTCTCAGCGCAGGCCGGTTGGGTTCCTCGCCTTGGGATCAAGTGAGCCAAGAGCCGGGTCGAGGCCTGAAACGGGAGAGACGCGAGCGAACAGCCGGCCGCCTGGACCGCATCTTACAACACGCAGCGGCTCCACTTGGCGCAGTGACCCCGGGAGGGGGCACTTGGTAATGAGAACCAATCGCCCGCAGCTTTCCCACCGCAGGCCGAGGGGAGCGCCGTGCCACGCCCTGCGGGGCGCTGGCATTGCTGGGGACTCTGCTGGCCAGGTCAGGACCTCACGAGCGCGCTGTAGGGCGGAGACCACTGCGCGCTCCTCTTCCTCGCTACCGGTTCAGGTCAGACGGGGGTCGCAGAGGCCTGGGGTCCCTGCGCCGCGGCTCGGCGGGGACTCCAGGCCGGGTCTTGCAAGTGGCCTCTGAGTGCCGGGAACACTCGGAGCGCTCCAGGCTCCTGGCCGCTACAAAGCGGGTTAAAGTCTTTTTCCACTCGATTGCCCTGAAAAGCCCAGAGCCCTCAGCCACGGTGAAGGGGTGGGAGGGGGGCACCAGGAGGGCACGGGAGGCCTTCGCACCTTGCAGCCCTGTGCGCTCGGGGCAGCCGGGATGAGCACTGCCTAAAAGGAGAGAAGGACGCGTGGCCTCGTCTCTGCTGCTGGCCCCTCAGTGTCCGTCTCGGGGTGTCTTGCCTCTCCCAGGCCTCCTTGCACTTCATCCTCCTCTTTCCCCTCTCTCTTTCTCTCTCCTCCTTTTCCCCGACCTCAGCCCAGGAAGGGGGAGTCAAGACTGGTGGGAACAAAGGTATGGCCAGGCCACAACGCCCGCCCCGAAATGAGAAGCTGGCTAAAAGCAGAAGGGAAAGAGATGAGAAAAGGCAGTTAGTCTGAGCCTGAGGCTCAAAGGGACAGTGCCCGGTGGATAAGCACAGCCCAGGCTGCGTGTGGGGCCTGTGACAGAGTGGGAGAGTCTGTGCGTGTGGGTCCTGTCCTCAGAGCTGCTTGTGGCTAGGAAGGGACAAGTTCCCGCTAGCCCAGACCTGAGAGCCTTCCACAGCGCGAGGTCAGCCAGTGACCGCCAACTCGCTGAACGGCTTGTGTAGAAAAATTTGGATTCTAATCACCGGCCTTTTGGTTCTGAGGGTCCCTTCTGTCTCTAAGTCGTTATTTGTGATAACATTTCCTAACCTTGCTGATAGGAAGCTCTGGTGCCTGAGTGGCAAGGAGCTTTACTGCCAACCCAAAGATACAGGGTTGGAAGCCAGCAGCTGCTGCATGTAGGAAAAATGATTAATGGCCTACTGTGTGACTTACTGCCTCTGAGAACCCCTGGGGGTGCTGGGGTTAGCTGTTCCAACTCAACTGGCATAAAATAACAATCCTTACAAAGGTGCTTTCAAAATACTTGGACATTCCACTGTCTGTGGGTTGATCCCATTTTACAGAGGAGGGAACAGACTGAAACAGTGCCTTGAGTCTGGCCCCTGTTTTTGGTCTTGCTAGAGCTGGGACAGTCTAGAGGTAGCCCCAGGCTAGCTCAGGTTCCAAGCCGATGGCAGCTGAGGCTTCTCAGGCCCGACAGAGACAGAGCCTAGAACCGGGGTGAGGAGCTGGGATGCCCTGAGGGGCATCTCCCACCTGCTGTCTCCTGCTCACCCCTCTCCCCATTTCCTCTCCCAGAGACCCTGATCCTCCTCTGCAGATATTTCTCTTTTGCCAGTGTTGTTTTTATAGATGCCATGAAGTCGAGCAAGATGCAAAATGGTCCTGTGAACAGCAGACCTGGACCCTGCCCTATCCTGTGTCACCGTCACCGTCTCTGACACACTTGAACCTGCTGCGGCGGTTACTCTGTCAATCCATCTCATTCAGAGTCTTCTTCTCTTTCATTGGCCCCCCCACCTTCCTGGTGATGTCCCTTTCCCAGGAATATTGTCTCCAAACAACGCGTCCAAAATTTGTGAGGAACTGTGAGAGGAAGCTTTGTCATGTTGCCTTGAAGGGACACTCTGGCTGCAACATCTCCAAGACATACAGGGCATTTCCCCTATTCCCTTCCCCAAAGGAAGTTCAAAGACTTAGACACCCTCAGGGATCTCCACATTCTATGTTCTGAATCCAACATCAATACCTTCCCTGTCCCACCCTTGTCCCTCCTCTCTTACCTACCCTATCCCCTGCCCCCCACCCCAAGTTCTCCCACCTTCCTTAGCCTACCCCTGGCTAGTCTTGTGCACAATGGCTCCTTGACACCCAGGACAGATTTGCTAGCCTTACCCATACTTCGTGCCCCAGTGGAAGGGCAGGAGTCACATGCAAAGTCACACGGTTCAAACTCCTTAGCTCGTCCAAGGAGGGATTTCTGAAAATCCACTGGCGTGTCAGCCGTGAGGTAGCTCTGACCCAGTATATAACACCATTCCTCACCTTCTGTTCCCAAGCCTTCTCTCCTCCATTCATTCCTCTTCACTTACCCGGGCTGCTGGTGGCCAAGATCTGAGACTGACAGTACAGACTGCTGCCTGCAGCACCCTCCTTGCCTGCACACTTCCAGCTGGTACCCTCCTCTCTCTCTGCAGAAGGTCTTGATGCTGTGAAAGAACTGGACTATCGCTATTCCTTCCTCAGACTCTCCATTTCTCCCCCTTCAATTCTCCCCTCCCTGGGAACTCCAGTGGGACAGTGGTTACAAGGTTGGCAGCTTGAACCTGCCAGAGACTCTAAGGGAGAATGATGGGGCAGGCTGCTTTTGTAAGGATTTCCTCCTCATTGCTGTGAAGTTGGAACAGACTCCTAGCTGACCCTTCAGCGAGTTTCAGAGGCTGTAAATCATGTGGGAGGAGATTGCCCATCTTTCTCCCTCAGAGCCGCTGGGGGATGCCAGTCACCACAGAGACTTGGCCTTTGGGCCTAGGGAGTCGGCTAGCGGAGCATCTTCAGAGCCTTGTAGGACAGTTCCACTCTGTGCTCTAGGACCTCTGAAAGGTACTGACTTTATACTCTAATCTTGGCTCTATTTACTAGTGGTGAGACCTAGGGGCAAATCACCATGCCTCCGTGAGCCTATCTGTGAAGTGGCAGGCATTACACCAACCCCTGTCAGAGTTAAAAGAGGTGCAGAGAACCAATGCTTGACTCCTAACAAAAGTTCAGGAAATGGCATTGTCTTTGCCCTTATCATGATGGGAATCTGGGCTGTGCTTGCATCTCCTCCTTATGCTCCTTTATCTGGTACATCCCGCCCCAAAGCTACATATTTATCAAGCTTGCCTCCCTTCCCTTCTTACGTCTTTGCCTGGCTGCCTTCATCCTTCCCAGCTCAGTTCAGAGAGCTGATTCCACAGTCAGCCTCTGCCCTTGCATTCCCCTGCAGCGTGTAGTTCTGAGATTTCTTCAGTCTCCCTCTCCAGACCACAAACCCAGAGAGAACTAGGAAGGTGAGGTGTCCCTCACAAACCCCATGCAGACGCGGTTATGTTGACCCAGCAGTACCCCTGCTCTTGTGGGGAGCTGGGTCCTTTCCGTTCATCTTTCTCTATCATCGAGGTTCGTGATTCTCCACTCAACCAAGACCTTTCCTCCCTTCGTGTGTCTCCTTCCGTATGTCGGCTTTGTCTTCTGTGCTACCGAATTTCTTGGATCATTTTCATTCTCTTTCTGATGATCTTGCAGCCTGGCTCCCACCACCACCACATTGGGTTGATTTGCAAACCTCATGAACGTTTACTGGGGTGATGTTGCAAGGGCAAGATTCACCTCAATGGCAATAATAATGAGCACAGTTATCATGAGGGTGAAGTCCTGGCCGCTGCCTGATGAGCTGACAGCACGCCTGGCATGTAGCAAGCATTTGAGAAACCCTAGTCTGTGTTAGAGATCTGTGCTGTCCGGCATGGAAGCC